CCCCGCCCCTGCCCCCTTTGCCCCTGCGGCGCCCGCTCGAAGCAGACGCGGTCCCGACCTTCTCAGCACCAAGGAGGTCGACAGCAGCAGCAGAGGCGACAGAGGGGAGGAGGGGGGAAGGGGAACACCCCTCAAAGAACGGGGTGCGGGGGTCGCCACGAGAGGTGCCTACAGCGACGATGCTCGCCTCAGCTGCAAGCAGTTCCTTCTCGAGGAGGTCTACGGTGAGCTCAGTGGGGGAGCGAGAGAGGAAGTGGTCCCTGACTGCGCGCAGAGAGTCAGGGAGGCGGGTGACGATGTGGTAGAGAGTGATCCAGAGCGGGGGGGGGGTTGCTAGTGAGAAACTCGGCAGGCATAGCAGCGCGAAAGCGGGCCTCACTGGTCTTAAGGTGGGTGATGAGGTCTGCGACAGTGTGAAAGGAGGCTAGGTCGGGGAACAGGTAGGGAAGAGTGAGGCGGCCTAGCGTAGCAGAAGCGGGTGAGGAGTAACGGGCAACTACAGCGGTGTAGAGGTCCCTAGCAGTCTTGCACTGGCCGAAGTGCTCGCGCTCATCTAACGGCAGGGAGTTGCGGATGGCAAAGCGAGCGTGGGCGTCACGAGTCTGCCACTGTGAGCGGGTAGTGCTGTCAGCATCAGTAGCAGGGGCAGGAGCATGGCCGAGGCGTGGTCATACAGTGAGATATCCTCCTTGGCAGTGAGCTGTAGGAAGAGGTGCAGGTCATCAAGCCAAGTATCAAACTTCACTGGGCGGCCCTCAGTATCGAAAGATAGTACAGGCGGGGTAGCCATAGTAGCAGTAGGAGTAGCAGTAGCAGTAGCAGTAAGTGAGTCCTAAACGCAGTGGGCAGCGCGACGCAGGTAGGGCGGCTCGGTCCAGAGAAGTTGCTCAGTGCGGGCGGCGCGGCTCGGTTCTGGCTGCTCGGCTCGGCTCGGACTGGGCGGCTCGGTTCGGGCGGCCTGTTGCTGGCGGGGCCGCGGCTGTCGCGTGCGGTGCGGGTAGGGGCGGCGGGTAGGGTCGACGGAGCCGCTTTGGGGCGGCGGATAGGGTCGACGGGGCCTCTAAGCGGGGCACGGGCGGGTCGACGGGGCCAAAACGGGGCCGTACGTGGGGCGCGCGCGGGTCGACGGGGCTAAACGGGGCCACTAAGCGGGCCGCGGGCGGGTCGACGGGGCCAAACGGGGCCTTAAGCGGGGCGCGCGCGGGTCGACGGGGCCTCTAAGGAGCGACGCGCGGGTCACTAAGGGGCGGCGCGCGGGGTCAACGAAGCCTTAAGGGGCCGTACACGAGGGCGCAGAGGGGGAGGCGCTAACGCAGCACTCCGACAGTAGATAGGTAGGTAGGTATTCAGTGGTGGGCCCTAAGAACGGTCCTAGCGAAGGACCTGCTCTGAAACCATGTCAGAAGAAGAGACTGGAATGATTGAACTAACAGAGAAATCAGTACAAATAGCAAACCCTAGAATTGTGTACCCCATATAGGCTAACCCACTGTAGCCTAACAAACCCAACATATATAATGTTTGACAGACGGGGCCGCGGGGCCTCTAAGCGGGGCTCGACGGGGCCGTGGGGCCGCTAAGCGGGGCGCAGCGGGGTCGAGGGGCCGTGTGGTGGCGGGCGACGGGGCCGCGGGGCCTCTACACAGGGTGCGCGCGGGGTCGACGGGCCGTAAGCGGGGCGCGCGCGGGTCGACGGGGCCTCCGTGTGGTGGCGGACGACGGGGCCGCGGGGCCTCTACACGGGGTGCGCGTGGGGTCGACGGGGCCGTAAGCGGGGCGCGCGCGGGTCGACGGGGCCAGCGGGGCCACTAGGCGAGGCGCGACGGGGCCGCAGGGCCTCTAAGCGGGGCGCGGTCGACGGGGCCAGCGGGGGCCGGGAAAAAAAAAAAAAAAAAAAAAAAAAAAAAAAAAGGAAGCGCTCGAGGGCGCTAAGGGGGGAGGCGCTAAAGCGCACTCCGATAGTAGGGCGCACGAGGGCGCTAGTAGTAGTAGAGTAGGTAGTAGGTAGTGGTGGGCCCGAAGAGAAGTTAGGTCCTAGCGAAGGACCTGCTCTGAAACCATGTCAGAATGAACGGACTGGGATGATTGAACTAACAGAGAGATCAGTACAAATAGCAAACCCTAGAATTGTGTACCCCATATAGACTAACCCACTGTAGCCTAACAAGCGCAACATATATAAGGTTTGAAATTGGTCTACATTTTCTAGTCTCGTTCTAGAGATCTCTAGAGAGATTAGCGAGCTCTCGATATTCTCTCTCTCTCTCTCTCTCTCTATCTCTCTCTCTCTCTCTCTCTCTCTCTCTCTATCTCTCTCTCTCTCTCTCTCTCTCTCCCTCTCTCTCTCTCTCTCTATCTCTCTCTCTCTCTTTCGTCTTCTTTCTCTCGTTATCTATCTATCGTTCGAGACTAGTTCTATCGCTCTCTCTCGAGTCCTCTCTCTCTATAGTGTTCTCCTCTTTGTTTTTTGTTCGCTCTCTCTTTCTCTAGTTCTTCTCTCGTTCTCTTTCCTCTCGTTTTCTTTTCTATCTCTTTCTCTCTCTCTCTCGTATTCTTCTTTTCTCTCTCGTTTTCTCTCTCTCGTCTCTCTCTATCTCTCTCTCTCTCTCTCTCTCTCTCTCTCTCTCTCTCTCTCTCTCTCTCTCTCTCTCGTTCTCTCTCTCTCGTTCTCTCTCTCTTTCTCTCTCTCTCTCTCTCTCTCTCTCTCTCTCTCTCTCTCTCTCTCTCTCTCTCTCTCTCTCTCTCTCTCTCTCTCTCTCTCTCTCTTTCTCTCTCTCTCTCTCTGTGAAATTCACAGCTAAGGTATATCGTTGTTTCCTGTTTTGTTACTTGCTCTGTTTTTTGCGTTCTGTTTTTTGACGTATAGAGTTGTTCATCATTTTTTTTACCTTACCACCATTAGATTGCATTCTGTTTGGTTATTATAATATTCTCCTCATTTGACTTACTCTCTTTTCAATTTTCTCCACATTTTGATAATTCTTTTCTTCTCTCCCCTCTTCCTTCTTTCCCTCTCCTTCATTCGGTGCCTATTTGTTTTTCCAGATTTCCTTCTGGCTTTCGTTCCAGATGTGTACATCTGCCAAGATTACTTGTGAAGTGGATAGTAGTGGTAATCTGTAGGATTGTTTTGTATTGCATGTTTTGTTGTTTTTAGAGTTTTTTGCATTTACGGTTTTTTTTTCCGTTTGTGTGAATGTGTGTGATCTTGTATATGTGTTTGTACATGTGTGTGTGCCTTTGTGTGTGTGTGTGTGTGTGGCTGTGTGCATTCATCCGTATCCATTGCAATAACAACGCACGTCTTTGATCTTTAAAAAGAAATCTCAAATCTATCATTTCACAAAAGGTTCATTGGCGCACTCAGTGACTCGTGTGCGACCACTTCGAACTGGATTTGATAGAGATGACTTTCTTTTTAGATTTCACAGATTGTGTTGTTTCATGTGGTAGTTGATTATTCAAAAGCTAAGCTATTTACCTCCCCCCCATGCTAGGCAGGGGACGGCGGTGGTAGCTTAGCTTAGTTTTTGGGTTTTTAACTGTCACGCATTTTACCATGTGCATGCGCATCATTCATGATATATCACACGCATTATATAGCATTATTTATGCATTATGCATTGTATAGCATCATTTATGCATTGTGCATGCATCAATTTATTATCACACAACACCATTCAACAATAAAACATATACGGTAATGCAAACAGTACAGCAAATCTGCACTAAACAACTGCAAAAAAATTCATATGGTCTAATACACTGTGAACAGTACCGTAGTCAAGACTGCTTAACATGCATACAGTATGGGAAGGGTATTACTGTAGTTTGCAAATTTTATTTTCATGTTTTAACAAAAAATATAAACATGAAAATAAAATTTGGCAAAATCGATCGTAAAGGGTTGCTTCGCAACCCAAAAAAAAAAAAAAAAAAAAAAAAAAAAAAAAAAAACACACACACACACACGCACACACATACACACACATACACCTACACATTCTTCCAGGGGCAGGCCCTCAGAAGTCAGAGAAATTTCTCTGATTTGCCTAAAAAAGTCTGATATTCAGCCTTTTTTTTAAGTGGACTCTGAAAGTGCAGAGTTTTTTTGGCAGCTAACTCTGAATATTCAGAAAAAAATATAGGCCTTGTCTGAAATTTAAGACTTTTCCTCGGAGTGTACTCTGATTCCTGATCCTGTTTGGGCTCTCTGCTCCGATTGTACCTACGCGAACTCTGCACAGACAGCCACAATTAGCGCCGGAAGGATCGTTTCGTCCTGTCAGTCACGCTGAAACAGTGACAGCACTGCTGCTGCGCGGGTGTTGTATCGCCTCGTTTTAGGCTGATCGGTAAGCTTCACTACTATGTGAACTTTGCTCTATCAGACTTTTGTATGTTTAAACTCTGAAATTTCAGACTTTTTTATAGTATCAAGTCTGATTGATCAGACTAAAAATGTGCACTAAGTCTGATGAATCAGACAGCTTGAAAACGAATCTGAGGGCCTGTCCAGGGGGTGCGCTTATAATTGAGCTTGGGATATAAGCGCCACACGCCAATTAAAAGCGCCAGGCGCTTATCCGAGGGTGGCGCTTATATCCGGGGTATGACGGTAGTGTGGGCAGTATCAAGTATTTCTTTGGATGGATATGTGGGGCTGCACATTATTAGGTACCGTATTCTCCCGGACATACACCCTAGGGTATGGTACCGTAGCTAAAAATTCATGGAAAAAACTGGGGGGGTCTCCTCATACGAAAAGGCTACATAATTCCCGGGCCGGGGGTGTACAATTTCAGCGGGTGTTTTGTCCGGGAGAAAACCGTACCACTAGGAATGCGCCAACATCTTGCCCATGACTTCAGCCCCCTTATATCATGCTTGCATTGTTCGCTGTAAAAGAAGTTGGGATGCACCTAAGTACGGTACCGTATGTTGATTCATGCACCTATCATATACCGGTACAAAATAGATCCCTGAACACGCCAGTACACTTATCTGCCTCTACCTGTGTCCAACAGCAACGAGCCTACTTGATCAGTCAACCCCGCAACGTCAGCACTACCACCACGCCCTTCTCCAACCCCACTGCCCCTTTCAGCCTCCGGCTCTACACCTCTGTTCGCCCGACCATGGCCCCGAAAACCTCCCGCCTCAGCAGCACCACTGCCCGCATCATGAGCCACTGCAGACGCGGGACCAGCGCAACCATCAGACCCTGCAAGTGTAGGAGGCCCTGCACACGCCTCTGTGTGCCCCTGCCTCCCTGCCGCTGCTTCTCCCTGCGCCTCAGGGGAAGTCGGCTCAGGTCCGTCTAGCGAGGGCAGTCTGGGCGGCACTCGGATCTCGAGCAATGATTGCACGGGCTGGCGGCAGATGGGGCACTTGTTGGTCTGGTACCGCAGCACCTTGGCACAGTCCGCGCACATGCACTGCCACCGCCATGGGTGCGGTAGTGGTGGGGGGAGGGGGGAGGGGGATTACGGTGAGGAAAGCACAGAAAAATTGCAGAACTGCAGAACCAAGATCACCCTGATATAGGTTACACGAGTGCAACGATTAAAGCAAAAGAAGATGGTGCGGGGAGTATGGATGGAGAGTGCAGCAGCAGCAGTGGAAAGGGTACCATGTGGCGGCATGGCAGCACGGTGGTGTCTCTGGGAGCTGACATGCAGATCACGCACTCCTTGCCCGCCACCTCGTCCTCCTCCTCCTCTCCCTCCTCCCCAATGCCGACCCCTCACCCGCCGCTCCCTCTGCCTCGCCTTTCTTGCCCTTGCCCGTGTTGGCCCGCCCGCACTGCTCGATGCCGTAGATCTCCTGCAGGGACGGACCACAACGGAATGACAAACAGCCAGCCCACGCAGCAATGGAGGGAAGGGAGGAAGGGTTCGCACGAGCGCGGTGGAAGGGTGGTGGCATGCAATCGCGTCAACGCAACGACAAACGGGAGGGGGAAAGGAGGAAGGGGGGGGGGGGGGGGGGGGGGGGGGGAGGGGGCTTGGAGAAGGGGGAGGATAGGTATCGCGCAATGATGGGAGTAGTGAGCCCAGACCTTGAAAAACGGAAGCGCTAGGCGGGTGCACAGCACGCGGGGACGCACCTGCACCTCGTAGCTGGTGCCGTCCACCCAGATCTTCTGCTTCACTGGCCGCACCACGAACAGCCCGGGCAGCTCCCCTACGCCCTTCCCCTTATCGCCCTCCGCCGCCTCCCCTTCTCCCTCTTTCTCCGTACGCGCTACAGCGGCCTTCTCGAACACCGCGTATGTCATCTGAGACTGCACCGACGGGGGCAGCGGAGCGCCTGGATCCGAGTCGCGCGATTCTACGCCATGGCTGCTGCCGACGGAGCGCGGCTCTGACGACGACGCGCTCGCGGGCTCGCCGGACTGAGCGCTACTGACGCCGCTGCTAGCGCTACTAATCGGCGATGCTACCGTCGCGGATTTCGGGCTTCTGGGCTCGACGCGGGTGCGAATAACGAGCGGATACACGGGGTTGGTGCCTGAAACCCTAACGAGATGCTCTTCTGGGATGAACGAGAGGTCGACGCCCGTGCCTGACGGCTGCACGAACTTCTGACCGAGTCCCTTGGCGAAGCGCACGACCGTTGGCGTGTGCACGTGCGGATACACACCCCTGAGGCTGCACCCCTCGCCCTCCTGCGCCGCGAAGAACACGCTCACACTGCACGCGCACCGGGGGGATGGCCAACACAAACGACGGATTACAAAAAGTTGACAAACGGACTTCAACAAACGTAACGGAACGTAATCAATTTGCGTGGTGACTAGAGATCGAGTATCGCACCGCACCTGCCGCTGGTGGTGGCGTCGAAGGTGAAGGCGACGAGGTGCTTGCTCGGATCTGCGGGGTCGCGCAGCAATCGCAGCGAGCTGCGCTTCACGTTCACCTCGTTCCTTATCGTCACCGCTTGCTGCGGCTCCGCTACCACAGGCGGAGGCGGCATCGGCATCATCGGCGGAACGGGGACCTGGTACGGCGGCGGCGCGTGCCCGGGATATCCGCCGTACCACGGCGCGGCGGGCGGTTGAGACGCGGGATGCGGATAGTGCGGATTGTGCTGCCACGGGGAAGGAGGCACTCCGCCGCCGGCCGGCGGGTACGCGTAGCCATAGGGGTACGGCGCATGGCCATAGGGGGCTTGCGGAACTGCGCCTGCGGGGACGGAGTAAGGGACTTGCGGGTAGTACTGCGGCGGCCTGGCTGGCTGCGACCGACGATGCTGCTGATGCGCCGGTTGACTCGAGCCCGCTCCCATGGCTGACGACCAACTTTGACCGACGCTAGATTAACGTGTTAAACAAAGATTTGATAGCAGTGAACTTCTGGGACGCAAACCCAATTACAACCAACCAGTTAACATCGGAAAGCGGGCGGTGGGGATCGGCGAAACCACCCTCAAATAAAACAAGAGTGTGCGTTCTGGCTTCTTACGATGGCCGTACCACCTTTCCGTATGGCTTCTCACGATCAAAGTGCTCCAATGGCTTCAAAAGCTCTTAGATAAGGAAGATCCCAAGGCAAAGCAAAGAAGTGAAGGGAGTGAGGCGCAACTGTTGTAAGGGAAGCATGCATGAAACGGTGCATGTGTGCACCGCTGGAGGGAAGGGGGAGGTCGCGAACGGCAATCCCAGTGAAGGCGGAGGTGCGGCTCTGCGCGGGGCGGGGAGGAGCGCAGGGTCGGCGACGTCCTGCAGGGGTCAGAGGAGTGCGGAACAGAGGGCGGGAGGCTGGATGGGTGCGCAGCGGAAGAGTTGACGCAGTGCCGTCAGCAAAAAGATCTGGTGTCAGCGAAAGGGCACACAAATAAATTGCAAGTCCAATCACCTTGCGGCGCGGAAGCTGGAACATATCCACCGAAGCACCTGTCTTCAACAAGCCAGCGGGTGTTACAAGAATGTGAGTTACACATTTCGAACTCTTGTCGCAACAAGTTGTTCGGTTGGAAATGTTACATGCGGCTAGAAGTGAATTTTTGCTGGGAAACTATATCCTAGATCCTTACTTTCAGATTTCTCTCATATTTACCCCCAGGTTTACTCGAAAGGTCCCACTTTCTGGGATTTGGCTCACGCGAGGCCCAAATTATGTTCAAAACTGGTCCTGTAGGGCTCAAATATTGACACGTGTCTATTTCACACCAACAATTTTTGACGGGGCACAAAAACAATAATACCCCTGGGGAAACCAGGACACTTGTTCGGGAGGGATCAACCCTAAACACGGGAACCCGCCCGGTGTTTAGGGTTGATCCCTCCCGAAATGTATCCCGCGGGCAAAAATTAAACCCCTTGGCTTACGGCATGCCATTCGGGAGCATCAACCCTAAAATTTTAGGGTTGAGGCTCCCTCGGATGGCATCCCATCAGAGAGGGTTTTAGTTTTTTTTTTTTGCCCGCGATCTGCTTGCTGACTCGATTGCACTGCCTGCTTACGCAGGCAGTGCAATATATTACCCAAATTGTGTCCCGTTTCCCCAGGGGTATTATGTTTGGTTTGCCCCGTATAAAAAACCTTGTACGAAATCGACACGTGTCGTAATTTCTGCCCCGCAGGACCAGTTTTGAACATACTTTGGGCCTCGCGTGAGCAGAATTCCGCAAAGCTGGACTTTTCTGGTAAACTTGGGATCAAAATTGAGATATTTTTGAAACTGTGGAGCTGCGATGTACTTTCCCAATTTTGCTGAATCGCGTGTCAGGGCTGGTGTTGGCAGAATGGTCCACCTCAGATCCAATGGACGCGGGGCCTTGCTGTGCTGGAAAATGGTTCGCAGCATCCAGACCACACATCCGCGAAGATCCCAAGGGACAAGGCTCCAGGCTGTCATACCCACCACTCAGTTCCACATAACCCGACGCCCAGGTTGTTCCCGTACCAGCCTAGGTGGTATTCCTTCACGCGCTGAGATCGGATGACTCTCGTTGGGAGCCAATAGAGCGGTTTGCATGACGTGGTGCCACGTGCCACCAAGCCTGCCTTCAGCTTCCCAAACCTTTCCGTGCGGCTGGTTGGACTTCTTGGTTTGAGCCTTGCCCACCACCGCCTGTTGCCTGTCCCGCGCCCCACCACCACAAAACCATTTCCCATGGTTGAAGCATTCGCTTTTGTCAGCTGTGGATTTCTGTCCATGGCCTCGCGCCGAGCATGAAGTCCTGAATTTTCTGGATTCTAAGCCATAAAGAAGTAGCCATTAAAAAGCTCTTATTTTGTTTCGGCACTTTGGTGCTCGGATTGCGGCAATGGCTAGTACCGTCGGAATGGCGTTGGGCACTGCATGCACAGTAGCACTGACCTCCCTAACCACCGTACGTTTCAATTTTCTTAATCACCAGTTAATTGAATTATTCTTTTCACGAAGCCTTTAACTTGTTTTATTCATGTAGAGAAAGAAACGTTGCTGAGAGACTGCCTTTGCGAACAGATTTGCATTCTGAAGACATTGTCTGGATTGATTGTTTTCAGTCTCGCAGGCCCTATATGCTTCAAGCAAATGTTGGCTGGGTCAGCAGCAGCCTCCTTTGTCGCACAAGCCGATGGGCTCCAGGTGGGTCTCTCAATATCCAGCGCGTTCTTCCTGTGCCTCGTATAATGTCCACCTTCCACACCTCTTGAGCATTCCGAGCGTTCACGTGTCACCCTTGCTTTCACCCTTTCCTTTTACTTCTCCTTTTTTTGATTATTATTCTTTTCTCAGCGATAGTTTTTATGCCGAATGATCGTTCTTACGTTCCGTCCTCGTCCCACACTCATTCCCATAAACCACCAGCTTCTGTGTCTAGAGTGACTCGAATCCCATCCGTTCAGTGCGGCAGCAGCAATCCCAACCCCCGCCGCGACGGCGCTAGCATCTCCACCGCCTCCAGCCGCGCGGAAGACCTTTCCGCGGCAACCGCCAAGCCCAGCCGCTCGCCCAAGGCCCGCAAGGATGCTGTTAGCGAGTCAGCTGCTGACGAGGACAACGGCAGCGCTGTTGAGAAAGCCGACCCCATTCGCCGACGCACCCGCAGCAGCAGTGCAGCTAAGGACAAGAAGAGCAAAAAGGTTAAAGGTGACGGAGACGCGGAGGAGCAGACGGGGGTGTCCGGAGGGGAGAGGAGACGGAAGAGCAAGGCGGCGATGACCGAGAATGAGATTCGGCTGGCGCAACTGCGGCAGGAGCTGCAGGCGGCGCTGGAGGAGCGCCAACGCCTCGCCGCGTTGCTGCAGGGGAAGGCGGAACCTGAGGAGACGGCAGCTGCGCAGACCGTGCGCACGCCTGTGGACGCGGGGGAGGCGGCGGCAGCAGCAGCGGTGCGGAAGGCTTCCGCGGAAAGGGCGCGGGAAGAGTCCTTGGCGCTGAAAAAGGAGCGAGAGGCGTTGAGGGCGGTGCAGGCGGCGCAGAAGGCGGAAGAGGAAGCTGCGCAGGCACGCGAGCGGGAAGAGGCCGCGGCGGGGGTGCGCGAAGTCGCAGCGGCGCGCGCGCGTGCTGAGGCGGAGGCGAAGGCGGCGGAAGAAGCAGCGGCGTTGGCGAGCCGTGAAGCGGCCGCACGGGCAAGGGAGGAAGCAGAGGCGCGCGCGAAGGCGGAAGCGTTGGCGCGGGAGCGAGCGGAGGCGGAGGCGAAGGCGCGGGAGGAAGCAGCGAGAATGGTGGAGCTGCCGCGGCAGGAGCAGTTGCGGAAGCTGCAGCAGGAGCACGAGTTCATCGCCGCAAAAATGTTCTTCTACCCCGGGCAGGTGCAGGCCGGCAAGCCCGTCGAAATCTTCTTCCACCGCCCGGCCAGCGTGCTCAAGGACAAATCCGGCGTGAACGTGGTGGGCGCGTTCAACAACTGGCAGTGGCAGCCGTTCAAGGCGGAGCTCAAGCCGTCCAGCGAGGTGCCCAACGACTGGTGGGTGTGCCAGATCCACATTCCGGAAGAGGCGTACCAGGTGGACTTTGTTTTCCACAGCACGGACAACGTGTATGAGAACAACGGCGGGCAGGACTTCTATATCGCCGTCACCGGCGGCATGGCGGAGGCGGAGTTCGAGACGATGCTTAATGAGCGCAAGCGGGAGGAGGCGGAGCGGGAGGCCGCGGAGGAGGCGGAGCGGGAGCGGCGCGCGGAGGAGGAGCGCAGGGCGGCGAAGCTGAAGGCGCAGCAGGAGGCGGAGCGGAAGCAGGCGCGCGACATGGCGAACGACGCGCGGAACCGGTTGGGGGAGATGCGGCGCACGTGTGGCACGAGCCTCGAGGGCGTGTGGCGCCTGGAGGAGGTGGCGCGCGCGGAGGGGGGCGAGCGCGTGGTGCGGCTGCTGTATAACAGGGCGGGGCGGCCGCTGGCGGGCAGTGGCGCGGTGTGGGTGCACGGGGGGGTGAACGGGTGGCAGGACGGGCTGTCCGCCACGGGCGAGCTCAAACCAGATAACCAGGATAACGGCGACTGGTGGTCCGTGCAGCGTGAGTGGCCCCTACCCACCCTCCCACGACCCCCCAACCCCCCCCTCCCCAACACACACCCCCCCCCCTTCCCCCCACCTCCCCTCATCTCTCGCCCCCTCCCTTCACCTGAAGACTAGCGTTTTCCCTTATCCCCCAGTCTCCCCTTCCTTCCGTCTCCCTTGCATATCTCCACAACCCCCACCCAATCCTATCTCCATGCTCCCGTCATTCTCCCGCCCTCCCCCCCTCAACCTCCCCCCCAGTGACTCTGCCCGCGGATGCGGTGGTGCTGAACTGGGTGATGGCGGACGGGCCAGTGGGCAAGGCGGGGGCGTACGACAACAACGGGCGCAAGGACTTCGCGGCCAGCGTGGGCAGCGACGACGAGGCGAGGGCGCTGTTCGACGAGCTGGAGGAGCGCCTGCTGGCCAAGCTGGAGAGGGAACGCATTGAACGTGAAGAGCGCGAGGCCAAGGAGGTGAGAGGAGTGGTGGGGGGGGGTGGGGGGGTGGGTGGAAGTGGGTGGGGGGTTGCCAGCGGTGGGTGGGGGGTTGCCAGCGGTGGGTGTGTGTGGGTGATGTGTGAGTGTGAATGAACGGGATGAAAAGAAGGCTAACAACGTTATAAGGGGAAAGAGGAAATCTTGAAGCGCACACACTTATTGGTCAATCTGCATTGCGTTGGCATGGCCCCATCCCCCCTCCCCTCACACCCACACCCTTTCACATGCATGTATGTATCTACACTGCGTGATCTCATCGGCACTCATTCGTGTGCACTCACACCCCCACCGCGTGGGTTACTGTGGCCGTGTTGCCTGAACGAACACATGTGAGTCCTGTCGGAATGAATGGCTTCTGAGTGCGCTCAAACGCCACCACTGGCATGCTCCCTTGAGAAAGAATATCTTGCACAGGCATACCCTCAAACACACCACACCCCCCCAATCCCGTTACAAAACACCAAGCACACGCCCAACCCTGCTCCACGCCATGCCGCTTCGCCTGCTCCTCCTCACCGCCCCCTTGCTGCCCTTTCATCCTCACTCTTCCCCCCACTCTTGCAGGCGGCGCGGCGGCAGGAGATGAAGCTAGCAATGAAGAAGCGCACGATGGAGACATTCCTGCAGTCGCAGGCGCACGTGTTCTACACCGAACCCGCTGAGCCCGAACGGAGCCTGCTTAGTCCCACTGCTTTGTCATGCTGCTCCCTCACCGCTCCCTTGCTGCTTTTCCAATCTCTTCCCCTTCACACCACCTCGCAGGCGGCGCGGCGGCAGGAGATGAAGCTGGCGATGAAGCGGCGCACCAAGGAAGCCTTCCTGCAGTCGCAGGCGCACGTGTTCTACACCGAGCCCGCTGACCCGCGTGCGGGGGAGACGGTGCGCGTGTTCTACAACCCGCAGAACACCGTGCTGCACGGGAGGCAGAACGTGTGGATGCGCGGGTCCTTCAACCGCTGGACGCACCGCACGGGCTGCTTCCTGCCCGTGCACATGCAGCCCTCTGCTAATGGCACGCACCTTGTTGGCGAGGGTGAGTTCCTCAGACTTGTCTCTGCTGTGTGCTGTATTCCCTCCCTGTGCCTGCACTGGCTCTTTCAACCGCTGGACGCACCGCACGGGGTGCTTCCTGCCCGTGAACATGCAACCTGCTGCCAGCGGCCCCTTCTTGTTCCTCACTACCCCTCATGCTCGCTCTGTGCATCCACCCCTCTTACCCCACCATAACCCAGTGACGGTGCCGCACGACGCGTTCATAATGGATCTGGTGTTTATGGACAGCAGCGACCCCTCTTGTTCCACACTACCGCCCATGCCCCCTCTTTACTCTCTGCTCCACCCCTCCCTTTATCCCCAGTGACGGTACCACACGACGCGTTCATAATGGACCTGGTGTTCATGGACAGCAGCGACCCCAACGTGGCGACGTATGACAACAGGGGCGGGCTGGACTACCACGTGCCCATCACCGGCAGCACCTCCAAGGAACCCCCGCTCTACATCGTGCACGTTGCGCTCGAGATGGCGCCTATTGCTAAGGTGAGAAACACCCACATGCCGCCCATTGCCAAGGTCAGATTACCACGTGCCCTTTACTAGCAGCACCTCCAAGGAGCCCCCGCTCTACATTGTTCACGTTGCGCTTGAGATGGCGCCCATTGCCAAGGTAGGTCAGAAAGGCCCATCACCCACGTGGCAATGCCTCCATCCATCTAGCTCATAACCCACTGCCTCCATCCTTTCTGTTCCTCCCCCCCTTCTCTCTTTCCCTTCTAGCTGCAACTCTTCTGTTTCCCCATGCTGCCCCCCTCGCATCACATCACCACCTCCCGCATCTCCACCAACTGCTCATTTTCCCTGTGCTTGCCAATGCCCATGGCCATGCACATGGGTTGCCCGTGTGTCACGGCATGCGCATGGATTGCCTGTGAATGGCGGTGGGTGGCGGGGTATGCACATGGCACATGGCCTGTGGCATGTGGCATGTGGCATGGCACATGCAGGTGGGGGGTCTGGGTGACGTGGTGACATCGCTGTCGCGAGCCATCCTGGAGCTGGGGCACAAGGCGGAGGTCATTCTGCCCAAATACGATGTCCTCAAATACGACTGCGTGAGTCATGAGTGCTCGCAAATTACAGCCATGTGAAATGAAAGAGGTGTACACAACTCAACAAGCCTACTCCACAACCCACACTGCATCATGTGCTCTCCCACGTGAACGTTCATTCGACCCACAGTTCCACGTGCAATGAACCGCACGTGCAATGAACCGCACGTGCAATGAACCGCACGTGCAATAAACCGCACCCAGGATCACCAGAGGCAGCTGTGCATCTTCTCGTGTACTTTCTCCCTCCTCTCCCCACACCTTCCCACGAGCACGCACCTTTCCTCGCTCCACCACGCCTCTCACCTGTCATCCCAACTCATCCCCTCTCTCATCCCGTCTCTCATTCCATCCATTGCACGCCACATTGCAGATCCAGGAGCTGCAGGACCGCGGGTCGTTTGCATGGGGTGGCACCAACTGGCGCATGTGGTTTGGCTACGTGGAGGGCATCGGCGTGCACTTCCTTGAACCCGAGAGCGGGTGAGGGGGGGAGGTGGGGAGAGAGGGAGAGATGATGGGATGGATGGGGAGTGAGGATGAAGGGGCTGGGCGGACGAATGGGGTGGACACGGGGTGGACATGGGGTGAGGCATGCGGCATATGTGATGTGAAGGAATTCACCGCGTGCTTCGTTTTGAAGAGATTCTCATCTCAGTTATCACTTGCCTTCGTCACTGTCACTCACCTGCCACAACTCAACCACTCCATCTGTTTTTCCTCTCCGGTCGTCTTGTCCTCTCTCGTCATCCCTTCCCATCCTTCAACCCCCCTCCTTCACCCCCCATCTCCCCTCGCCTGTCACCCAGACATCGTTTTATTCAAACTCCATAACTTTCCTTCGTCCCCATTTCCCCCTTCCCCTTTCCCCTCGGAGCAGCATATTCTGGGTGAACTGCATCTATGGGCGCAAGGACGATGGGCACCGCTTTGGCATCTTCTGCAACGCCGCACTCGAGATGCTCGTGCAGACCGGCCGCCAGCCGGTCAGTCAACCCCTCCACCCAGCGCTGCTAGTTCTTCCGTTGCAATAAACCATGACCCCCGCTCTTCTGCACTTCCACTCATCTGCATTCCCAACCCCCCCTGCCCTTATCTGACACTCTACCCATCCACTTGTCACCTACTCGCCTATCCCCACTACCTCCTACCAACCAACACGCCCTCCCCGGCCACCCACCGTGTGTCACTGCCCCCTCAGGACATCCTGCACTGCCACGACTGGTCGTCAGCACCAGTGGCATGGCTGCATGCGGAGAGCTACAAGCAGTACGGGCTGGGCAATGCGCGCACGGTGTTCACCATCCACAACCTTGAGTTCGGCCAGGCTCTCATTGGCCGCGCCATGGCTGCTTGCAACATGGCCACCACCGTGAGTTCCCTGTGCTGCCTGTGTGTCTGTGGGTTGCTGGGCGTGATTGTGGGGAATGTGACTGTATTGAGTGGGGCAATGCGCGCACGGTCTTCACCATCCACAACCTCGAGTTCGGCCAGGCTCTCATCGGCCGCGCCATGGCTGCTTGCAACATGGCCACTACTGTCAGTGCTCCTATTGCTGCCCCCCCAGCTGCTGCTGCCGCCCCATACTGTGCACTGCTGCTTTTTCTGCTGCTCTTCCTGATGCTGTGTTACAATGCCAGCACTTCTGCGCTACATTGCATCACCGTGCCATGTTACTCACTCTTCCACCCCATCCACGCCATGCAGGTGTCACCGACGTACGCGTGGGAGATAGGGGGTCACGGGGCGGTGGCAGCGCACAGGGGCAAGTTCCACGGCATCCTCAACGGCATCGACCCCGACATCTGGGACCCCATGACCGACCGCTTCCTGCCTGTCAGTGCTCCCTGCTGAGCAACCCTGTGGTTGCATCATATTGGTGTCCACTCCTCGTCCTCATGTACATAACAGGCATCTCATCCCATCTTTCCGCTTGCCACGTGCCTGCACCTACTCCTCATCTCGCCATGAGCACCCGCACTCGCGCATAACTTGCACATTCTCCCTTCTCCCTTTGGCCCCTCTCTCGCTTCCACATCATGGCTCCACTTCTCACGCCTACCTGTCCCCTTGCCTGACCCGCCACCAGATGCGGTACTCATCGGAGGAGGTGGTGGAGGGCAAGCGAGCAGCCAAGGACGAGCTGCGGCGGCGGCTGAACCTGCGGTTTGACGACCGCCCCGTGGTGGGCATCGTGACCCGGCTCACGGCACAGAAGGGCATCCACCTCATCAAACACGCCATCTGGCGCACGCTGGACCGCGGCGGGCAGGTGAGGAGTTGTGGCATGCGGTAGGAATGGGAGAGTAAGTGCATTAGGACAGTGGATGATGAAGGGAAGAGTGAGAGTGGGGGCACAGAAGGGCATTCACCTCATCAAACACGCCATCTGGCGCACCCTCGACCGCGGCGGACAGGTGAGGAGTTGTAGCGTGCGGTGGGGATGGTCGGATAAGGACGGCTGCAAGTGGAAAATACGAGGGAAGAGGAGAATGAGAGTGGGAGCGCAGAATGGTTTCTGAGAGTTCTTAAGAATCGCTCATCAAGCATGCGGCCATCTGGTCCCACTCTTATGTGTGTTGTACTGAACATACGCCACGCCCATGCCCGTGCGCGTGGTCATGCGTGCAGGTGGTGCTGCTGGGGTCAGCGCCTGACCCGCGGGTGCACGGGGAGTTTGAGCACCTGGCGGGGCAGCTGAACAACTCGCACAACAACATGCAGCGCCTCTGCCTCAACTACGACGAGCCCCTCAGCCACCTCGTGGGTCACCACTCACACGTTATTGCTGGGCCACTTGCTGCCCACGTTGCTTCTGCTGCACCCTTGTGCTTCCTGCTGCTGCGTCCCATGACTGCACCCTGCCGTGCAATATGTGCGCCCTGCACACTCGCACCCTGTTCCTGCGTCACCCATGACCCATCACCTGCCTCCCCCTTGTCCTGCCTTCCCCCTGTGTCACGTGTGGTGTGTGCACTGCGTGGCTGTGCAGATCTATGCGGGGTGCGACATGATTCTGGTGCCCTCCATGTTTGAGCCCTGTGGCCTCACGCAGCTCATTGCCATGCGCTACGGGGCCGTGCCCGTCGTGCGCAAGACAGGAGGTCAGCCACCCGCCCCGTCTCAATCTTCTTTCCTCCCATCTCGTTCTTTCTCGTGCTCCCTTGCCCCCTCCTTACAATTTACAAAGGCACAATACCTCTGAAGTAAGCCTACCCTTTCCTTTGTCCTCTTCCCCTCCCCCTCCTCCTCTCCCTTCTGCTCCCTTCCTCCCCTCTTTCTCCTGCCCTTCCTGGCCCGTGTGCTCCCTCTGTGTGTGGCAGGGTTGAACGACACGGTGTTTGACGTGGACAACGACCATGACAGGGCCAGGGCGCAGGGCAAGGACGTCAATGGCTTCTCCTTTGAGGGCGCCGATGCCGCCGGCCTCGACTATGCCCTCGACAGGTAACCCACGCCTTGCCTGGCCTGTCAGCGCACAAGTATCGCATGTGAGTGCTAGATTGAAACAAGCCGCGCTTCGGCTTTGATGCGTTTGATTGCGATTGACACGCACTCTGAGTTTGAAGGCGTGATCTCCATTTACCCCTGTCATTCACCTCCACTCCCCTCTAATAACTCCACTTAATGCCTCCCTCCCTTCTGTTCTGGGCAGAGCCATTTCTGGGTGGTATGACGGGCGTGAGTGGTGGAATGGGTTGGCCAAGAGGGTCATGGAGCAAGACTGGACTTGGAACAGACCGGCGCTCGACTATCTCGAGCTCTACTATGGTGCTAGGAAATGAGTTGGTCACTGCTCTTGGCAATAAGCAACTAAATGAAAGGATTGGGTATTTTATTTCTTTGTATGGTTTGAATCCACATGAACGCGTCCCTGGGCGTTGATTTCAGGATACTTCTCAGCATCATGATGGCTCCAAGTCTTCAGCCCATGCTGAATCATGTATGAAAGTGTTTACAACATCCGTAGTGTTTTGAGAAGTCTGGTGTGTACTCACCTCCTAAAGTCAATCTCCGCTGAATATGTATTTGGCTGATGTGTAACCACGAGTCTCTCTATAACACGTCACATATCGTGGAAGGGGCTGGTCATGATGCTAAAGTTCGCTGGATGGCCGTACGCTCGCCACCGCAGCGAGTGTGAATTTGTGGTGACCAGGCAACCTCAGTTGGTGGAGCGTTATCCGCACTTTTTCCGATCCACCAATCCGCGCGCTGCTCTTAACTCTCTTCTCTCTTTCACACACCTGACTTGCGCGCCTCGCATGATCCCATCTGTTGCTCCAAGAAGTTCGGCAAGCGTTTCGCATCCCGCTTTTTGTCTGGCGGAGATGGGTAACGTTGAGAAAGGACCTCTCGTCTAGTGGTGCGCTGAGTGGTTGTGCGACTGTGCGACGGGGAAGCACGTCGCGATGACTATGAATCGGTCGCACATTGTGGATGTCATGCGAGAAGGCGGCTCCACACCACACAGTGGGCGAGTGGCGAATGTGCAGGCTGAGCAAATCTCCCTCGCACGAGCCACCAGTTTTTCGGAACAGAGAATGCCTTGTCACTGTCGCGAAAACCAACTGTGCAATCACCCCAGGCGAAAAGTAAAGCCTTTTTGTGAGCTCTTCGCATTGATGTCGCTCACAGCTCGCGATGGTCGTGAAGCACCGTGACTGGTGGTGGCTGCGCTCGCCTCACTAGTTGCAAGCTCCACCCCCATAGTCAGCTCAGGCCACATCCATGGCTGCCCCCCGTAGCTCGCTCCTCATCCACTCATCCACAGGAGCTGGAGCCCTCATCCCCATTCCCTCTGGCTCGATCGTATCCCTCACCATTCACCACCCCGCTCGGTCCCACCTCCCAAGGAAGCTGCTTTCCCCCCTATAACGGAGTGTGCGCTGTGATTGGCTGCTGAAGTAGCAGGTGATTGAGAGCATATGCCATACCTTTACCCACAGCAGCGCGCGGAACTTTCAACGCTCTGCGAGCAGCCGAAAGGGGAAGGCCAGCTCAAGTGTGGCACTACATAACACGTCATAGCATTAGGAATCTATTCCTGACCAGCCTTGTGGTGTCCCAACAACCACTCGTCCATTCACATCGGATTCGCTCTTGTCTATCGATATCCTCCGCGTACCGCTTCGCTTGCTTGCCCCCTCTTTCCGGACATCTCCGCATCCTACGCTCGCATCCCGCCTGTCCAAAACATCTGCCGCCATGCCGCCATGGGAAACGTACCTTGCGCGGCCTCCGCTGCAGGCGGATATGCCTTATCCTCGTGACACGTGGCAGAGCGCCGCACCGTGCGACAGTGTCGCACACGAGGCGGGGTCGTGGCATGCCGCTCAGCCCCTCCCGCAGCTCCCCTCCCACCTCTCCTCCGCGTTTTCCGCGCTCGCCTCTGCGCATCCCGCTCATCTGCCGGACCGCGCATTCTCCCCTTCTCTCCCGCACCACGCGCAAGGCCAAGCCCATCCCGGGCCGTCGGTGCTTCCGCCGAGCTTGCCCTCCGCGCCCTTCTCGTCGTCCGCCTTCGCCTTCCCCTCGCTCGCCCTCGAGACCTCTTTCTCCGCGCTCTCCCTCTCTCTCCGCTCGCAGTCCCCACCTGACCCTCCCGCGCGGCCTTCACTCCCCCACGCCGCCTCCGCGGGGTCTCTCCGAGCCCTGGCTTCCGGCGCGGTTCCCGCTCCCCATTTTGCGCCATCTGCGCAGTGTTCGGTGGACGGCGACAGCAGCAGCAGCGGTCGTCGCAGTGCGAGCTTGATCCCCTATCCGGGGGAAAAGTCGACACACGCTACGTCGTCGGGTTCCAGTCCGTCGTCGCCCGCGTCGTTCGTGTCGTCCGTTTCGTCGTCAGTCGCCGGCCATGCGACGGCGGATTTGTCGCACGATTCACTTCCCGCCGACAACCCTTGGTATGTGTCGTCGCCTGCGACGGCGGCCCCTGCGGATGGCGCAAAGGATGAGCCTGGCGCAGCGGCAGCTGGAGGCGGAAAGGCAGGTTCGGGGGAAGCAGCAAGCGGAGAGGCGATTCCTGATGCGCTTCCCCGCGCAGTTGGCGGCACGGTGGAAGAGGCGGCTCCGGCGGGCGTGGCGCATGTGGCACAAGCGACACAAGAGATTCATGCGACACATACGGAGGAGGTGGAGCGACTTCAGCAGGCCTTGCGGCGGGCGGAAGCCGCTGCAGCGGAAGCGCAGCAGGCGGCTGCGATGGCGCAACTAGAAATGGCGCAGATGCAGCGCGCGTGCGGGGAGCATGCGCGGCAGGTGGTGCGCCTGCGACGCGAGTTGGACTCCGCGGGAGACGCGCACCTGCAGCTAGCCGCGGAGGTGGCGTGTCTGCGCGGGGAGCTGGCGGGCGCGGGGGAGGTGGCGGCGCAGCAGGCGGGGCAGGCGGCGCGGCTGCGGCGGGAGCTGGAGGGGACGCAGTGCGTGGTGGTGCGGCAGGCGGCGGAGGCAACTCAGCTGCGCCGCATGGTGAAGGCCGTGCACGCGCTCGACGTACGTTGCGCGCGCCACACTTTCTCCTGATTCCGCCCTTCTCTCCGCCGCATTTCTGGCTTCTCTCCTCCCACATCACTTCTTGCTCTTGCCATTGCCGTCGCCTTCACGCCTGTTCCCATCTCCCATCCACTCCCTCCTCATTCTTCTCCACTCTCTCCCCATGTCTTCCCCCACCCCGCCCCCTTCTCCAATTCCCTGCTCCCCCGCGCCCCCGTCCCCCCATCAGCTGGTGCATCTGGAGGACTTCGCCATCGCCGCCCTGCAGCACGACCTCAAGGCGGAGGCGCGCCGCGGGCTGCCGGCGGCGGAAGCGGCGCTGCTAGACGCGCCGGACGAGTACGGCGGGTGCCGGCAGTTCTACCAGACGGGGTGCTGCCACTTCGGCCGCGGGCGCCGCCCCTGCCCCAACGAGGCCAGCCACTTCTGCCTGCGCTGCGGCCGCGCTCACGGCACGGCGCCGCACCTCGTGCTGCTGAGACGCCTCAACGACCGCTGCCTGCTGCCGCAGTGACTGCACTCACACACGCACGTGCTTGCCACGCGCTCTGCGCATTGTCGTGATCGCCGCTCAAGTCTCGCACCGACAATGCTCTTTACTGGCCTTCTGCTGCCTGCTGCCACAATGGGTCACTTCAGCAAGTTGTGATCGAATCATGACCAGCAGCAACACCGATCAAGATCAGCTGTGAAACTCTTGTCTCGTGCTCCACACTCTCTCAGTTCCCCTGGCCGCCACACATCGGAGCCTTGCCCCTCTTCTCCCTGTCAGCACCACACTGCACCGAGTCATGGGTGTGGCTGCACGGGGTTAGCCATGCCCACGCACGTCCCTCGCGCTGTGCCTCTCCGCCTCCCATCCTCCTAACCCCAAGTACCTCTGCTGTCGCCTGCTGGTTGTGGGCTCCCCTCTCCTTAGCTGTGCCATACAACGCACCATGGCACAGCCCTCCCACCTGTGCACATCAATGTGCTGCCCTCCCTCTCACCATCACACAAGGCTTCAGCGCCACGCACAAGCGATTTGCGCTTGTTGTGGCCTCAGTAGCTAGTGCAACTCGTCACTAGCGGTCCTGCCGGAGGTGTATTGAAGCTCTTGGTTTGCTGCGGGCACAAAGCACCGCCAAGTTTTGCTGCTGCCTTACCTAGCTTGCATGGACAGACAGCCTTCCAGCATGCTGCTGGGAGCTCCGTTGATTTTGTCAGCTGTCTTGGCATCAATGCCTGCTCCTGTTTCATTCAATGGCAATGCTTATGGTTGTGCTGTAACATTTTTTATGGTATGCATGGCACTAATATAAATCAGGTGTGCTCTTGAAGCTGTGCACCAACCTTGACTGTTCAGATTGGAGTGGCATTGACTCAATGTGTTATGCAAAACTATTGTACTGTATGTGGCTCTTTTGGGCGTACACAAGATACCTGAATCCAATGCGGTACACGACGTATTTGGCCTTAGCATTATGATATGGAGAAATTCTTCTGTAAAAGAAATCAGATTCAAGTTTTTACCACTTCATATAATAATCAGATTCTATGGCAGGAACATGTTCGATCGATGACAGATGAATCCAAAATAACATTTCATTCAATAATGCGTATGGCATCTAGGCTTTCAGAGGGCAAGCCAGACACAGAGCCTCCTAGGCTCAGCACTCTTTGTAGTAGCTTCAGTGCCTCTGCAGTGACCACCTCCCCCGGCAGCAGCACTGGGATTCCAGGCGGGCACGGGCACAGCATGTCCACACTGTAGCGCCCCACCGCCTGCTGAGCTGGCACAACCTCACTGGGCAAGAAAAACGCGTCCCGTGGGGGTAATTGTGGGCAGCACACTGAAGTCCCGTTGCTGGTTGGTGGTGCAACTGGAAACAACACTTCTCCTAGCTTTACTTCACCCTCCTCCCACTCCACTCCATCCACCCTCTCACTCACTCCTCTCTCCTTCACCATGGCAGCGAATGCAGCAACAACACGGTCCACATCGCTCTCAGATTCACCGTCACCCTGCTCGGATTCACGGTCATCCCTCCCGACCCGTCTCTCCTGTACAGCACTGCTTCGACTCCGTGGCGACCTCTGGTTGGTTGGAGTCATGGCGCTGGCACTGCTGATAGCAGCATTGTGACTCGGAATCGGAATCGGAATCAGAAGAGCCAGCACCATGACTTGAGTCAGGGGGTCTTCTCTGTAGCACGAAACCCGGGGGCAAGCTTGGGGCTTCCTTGGTGCCCCACTGGTTTGCCCGCCCAGCTGAGTCAGCAGCCCGCTTTGACGGTGCGTGGGGGGTGTGTTCCCTACGGCAGCATTTTCGCAAGCCGCCGTGTCATGCCAGTGGGAGGTTCAGACGCATTCGGCATGCCAGTGCCGTGGGGGTGTGGCACCCCAGTGCCGTGGGTGCAGGAGACAACGATGGAGCAGGATGGGCCGATGGGTCAAGAGGGGGTGATGGAGCAGGATGGGGCGATGATACAGGCGCTGAGGGAGAGCAGATGGGCACCAGTGGTAGCGTTGGGAACGCTTGGACACCTGGGAATGCTGGGAATGGTGGGAATGGTGGGAATGGTGGGAATGTTGGAGCAGGGGTGTGGAGTGGTAGGTGCACAAATGGGGAAGACGCAGTGCAGGGTGGGGGAGCAGGCAAGGAGCATGGTGATCCGACTGCAGCAGCATGGCGATCCGAATGCAGAAGCCACAGAGCGCATGCAGCAGCCAAAGAGCGCATGCAGCAGCCACAGAGCGCATGCAGCAGCCACAGAGCGCATGCAGCAGCCAAAGAGCGCATGCAGCAGCCACAGAGCGCATGCAGCAGCCACAGAGCGCATGCAGCAGTCAAAGAGCGCATGCAGCAGCCACAGAGCGCATGCTGCAGCTCTCACAAGCCCTGCTCAGCCCAGCAGACCCTCCTACTCATAGCCCTCACACCACACCGCAAATCATCCTGACAGCCCTGACCGTAGTGCCCGTGTGGACAGGACACCCCTCATGGCCCTGCCATCCCTCACGCCTCCCATGCTGCTGCATTCGAGGAAACCAGTGCGCTGCTGGCTTGCAGTGACTACCAGAGCCTCGCCTCTGCAGTGCCTTCTGCTCCTCCCGCTGCTGCTTTTGAGCCTGCAAGCAGGCTTGCTGACCTGGTGCCTACTGTGTCCCCACCATGCATGGGAGGGGACCTCACAGTGCCTGGCGGCCACTGCCTGTTGCCTGCTGCCTCCTGCAGTGAGTGTGGCACCGTGTGAGCTGGCAGATTGTGCGGCGAATACCCTTACCATTGATGTTGCCCAGGTCCACACGGCAACATGCGGACAGCAGAAATGGAAGCCCTAGGACCAGTGAAACCATTGCTTTCACGAGCAAGATAAGTTCAAAACTTGACAGTCAATCAGGTATCATAGAACAAAGAGATATCAATGGAACCTCTCTTGGCCATCAGGACTGGTGCCCTGATGTTCACCCGAACACCACGGTAAGGTGGAGGTTCGACGTTCGGGAAAAACTGTTTTTATGTTAACACTCAATGTCCACACCTACCGGAACCACACCGATGGCCATTGGTCACCCACGGCCATCTGTCCCACCTTGCCAGCACAAGGAGGAGCATACAGTCATTGCCTTTCGGGAACAGCACATCTCGAGTGGATGTATTTTGAGGTGCAAAGAGAGGAAGTGGAAAAGCGCGATCTGGCACAAGACTCAAATCCACCCCCTGGCGTAGCATGAGCTTGCCTAAACCAGAGTCGGCCGGCTCGACTCCAGCAGGGCCTATTGTGTTTTAACGCCAGGTTCGTTACTTGAGCACCGAGGGCCGTCGCCGCGCTAGTTCCCCAGCCACCCCCGCACAACAAGCCACAAACCACCCAAGAGGGCTGCCCCTAAGGAAGTGAGCTGCATACTACCTCCCATACTTTACCCGTTCCCATTACCAACACACACATATATGACCCCAGAACCCGTTCATAGCAAAAGGAGAAACACACAGCCACCCCCTTTCGAGAACTGCACATCTTGAGTGGATGTATTTTGAGGTGCAAACAGAGGAAGTGGAAAAGCGCGATCTGGCACAAGACTCAAATCCACCCCCTGGCATAGCATGAGCTTGCCTAAACCAGAGTCGGCCGGCTCGACTCCAGCAGGGCCTATTGTGCTTTAACGCCAGGTTCGTTACTTGACCACCGAGGGCCGTCGCCGCGCTAGTTCCCCCGCCACCCCCGCACAACAAGCCACAAACCACCCAAGGGCGCTGCCCCTAAGGAAGTGAGCTGCATGATTGCACCTATGCTTTACCTTTACCTACCCCAAGGCAGTCATAACACAGTTACAACCAGGCCAGCAAGCACACACATGAGGCAGTCATAACACGGTTACAACCAGGTCAGCAAGCGCACACATGAGGTAAAACAGTTACAACCAGGCCAGCAAGCGCACACATGAGGTACCACAGTTACAACCAGGCCAGCAAGCGCACGCATTAGGTAACACAGTTACAACCAGGCCAGCAAGCGCACACATGAGGTAACACAGTTACAACCAGGCCAGCAAGCGCACACATGAGATAACACAGTTACAACCAGGCCAGCAAGCGCACACATGAGGTAACACAGTTACAACCAGGCCAGCAAGCGCACACATGAGGTAACACAGTTACAACCAGGCCAGCAAGCACACACATGAGGTAACACAGTTACAACCAGGCCATCAAGCGCACACATGAGGTAACACAGTTACAACCCGGTCAACAAGCGCACACACGAGGTAACACAGTTACAACCAGGCCAGCAAGCACACACATGAGGTAACACAGTTACAACCAGGCCAGCAAGCGCACACATGAGGTAACACAGTTACAACCAGGCCAGCAAGCGCACACATGAGGTAACACAGTTACAACCAGGCCAGCAAGCGCACACATGAGGTAACACAGTTACAACCAGGCCAGCAAGCGCACACATGAGGTAACACAGTTACAACCAGGCCAGCAAGCGCACACATGAGGTAACACAGTTACAACCAGGCCAGCAAGCGCACACATGAGGTAACACAGTACCAACCAGGCCAGCAAGCGCACACATGAGGTAACACAGTTACAACCAGGCCTGCAAGCGCACACATGAGGTAACACAGTTACAACCAGGCCAGCAAGCGCACACATGAGGTAACACAGTTACAACCAGGCCAGCAAGCACACACATGAGGCAGTCATAAGACGATTACAACCAGGCCAGCAAGCGCACACATGAGGTAACACAGTTACAACCAGGCCAGCAAGCGCACACATGAGATAACACAGTTACAACCAGGCCAGCAAGCACACACATGAGGTAACAGAGTTACAACCAGGCCAGCAAGCTCACACATGAGGCAGTCATGACACAGTTACAACCAGGCCAGCAAGCGCACACATGAGGTAACACAGTTACAACCAGGCCAGCAAGCACACACATGAGGTAACACAGTTACAACCAGGCCAGCAAGCGCACACATGAGGTAACACGGTTACAACCAGGCCAGCAAGCACACACATGAGGTAACACGGTTACAACCAGGCCAGCAAGCACACACATGAGGCAGTCATAACACAGTTACAACCAGGCCAGCAAGCGCACACATGAGGTAACACAGTTACAACCAGGCCAGCAAGCACACACATGAGGTAACACAGTTACAACCAGGCCAGCAAGCGCACACATGAGGTAACACAGTTACAACCAGGCCAGCAAGCGCACACATGAGGTAACACAGTTACAACCAGGCCAGCAAGCACACACATGAGGTAACACAGTTACAACCAGGCCAGCAAGCGCACACATGAGGCAGTCATAACACAGTTACAACCAGGTCAGCAAGCACACACATGAGGTAACACAGTTACAACCAGGCCACCAAGCGCACACATGAGGTAACACAGTTACAACCAGGCCAGCAAGCACACACATGAGGTAACACAGTTACAACCAGGCCAGCAAGCGCACACATGAGGTAACACAGTTACAACCAGGCCAGCAAGCACACACATAAGGTAACATAGTTACAACCAGGCCAGCAAGCACACACATGAGGTAACACAGTTACAACCAGGCCAGCAAGCGCACACATGAGGTAACACAGTTACAACCAGGCCAGCAAGCGCACACATGAGGTAACACAGTTACAACCAGGCCAGCAGGCACACACATGAGGTAACACAGTTACAACCAGGCCAGCAAGCGCACACATGAGGTAACACAGTTACAACCAGGCCAGCAAGCGCACACATGAGGTAAAACAGTTACAACCAGGCCAGCAAGCACACACATGAGGTAACACAGTTACAACCAGGCAAGCAAGCGCACACATGAGGCAGTCATAACACAGTTACAACCAGGTCAGCAAGCACACACATGAGCTAACACAGTTACAACCAGGCCACCAAGCGCACACATGAGGTAACACAGTTACAACCAGGCCAGCAAGCACACACATGAGGTAACACAGTTACAACCAGGCCAGCAAGCACATACATGAGGTAACACAGTTACAACCAGGCCAGCAAGCACACACATGAGGTAACACAGTTACAACCAGGCCAGCAAGCACACACATGAGGTAACACAGTTACAACCAGGCCAGCAAGCACACACATGAGGCAGTCATAACACAGTTACAACCAGGCCAGCAAGCGCACACATGAGGCAAAACAGTTACAACCAGGCCAGCAAGCGCACACATGAGGCAACACAGTTACAACCAGGCCAGCAAGCGCACACATGAGGTAACACAGTTACAACCAGGCCAGCAAGCGCACACATGAGGTAACACACTTACAACCAGGCCAGCAAGCGCACACATGAGGTAACACAGTTACAACCAGGCCAGCAAGCACACACATGAGGTAACACAGTTACAACCAGGCCAGCAAGCACACACATGAGGCAGTCATAACACAGTTACAACCAGGCCAGCAAGCACACACATGAGGTAACACAGTTACAACCAGGCCAGCAAGCACACACATGAGGCAGTCATAACACAGTTACAACCAGGCCAGCAAGCGCACACATGAGGCAGTGATAACACAGTTACAACCAGGCCAGCAAGCACACACATGAGGTAACACAGTTACAACCAGGCCAGCAAGCACACATATGAGGCAGTCATAACACAGTTACAACAGCGCGGGCAGCAGCAGCAACAGCAGCAGTAGAGGAGGGAGTGGCCTCCTATCCTCAGCAGCCTTGCATGAACCAGAATTTACCGCTCCAGAACACACCTTAGTAGAGGGAGTCTCTGCCCCATCGGCATCCACACAGGCAGCAGCGGAGGGAGTGGCCTACCAGTTCTCCTTATCCCTCTCCTCCTCCTTCGCCCTCTTGCCCAACTCCTCCCCTGCCGCTGGCCGATGAGCCAGGGATCTGCCCGGTGGAGGTGGTGGGGGCGGAGGAGGCGGAGGAGGGGGTGGAGGGGGTGGAGGGGGTGGAGGGGGTGGAGGGGGTGGAGGGGGTGGAAGCGGGGCGGCCAGGATGTGCCCGGTGGCGGGGTGCGTGGCGAGGCGAGGCGAGGCTCGGCTGATGAGGGAAGCGGCGTGACCAGCGCGACCTCGAGTACCGTCAGGCTGGGCACGATGGCCCGCATGAACGATCAGTGAAGGCCCGCATGCGCGATCAGTGAAGGCCCGCATGCGCGATCAGTGAAGGCCCGCATGCGCGATCAGTGAAGGCCCGCATGCGCGATCAGTGAAGGCCCGCATGCGCGATCAGTGAAGGCCCGCATGCGCGATCAGTGAAGGCCCGCATGCGCGATCAGTGAAGGCCCGCATGCGCGACGCAGGTGGTCCAAGAGCTGAAGGACGGTGAAGGATGGTGGGGGGGATGGGGCGGTTCAGGTCGGTCAGACGAGGACGGGTGAGAAAGAGAATCAAAGTCACGTATACAGTTGCACTAACGCCGCACTGTGAGTGTGCATAACCAGCATTCATTCAAACGCGTTACCCACCAACCTGTGGGTCAGACTCATGCCATGCTCGCTGACCTTCGTCCCCATGGAGCTTAAACGCCACTCGAACCAGCATTGACCTGCGTTGACCTGCGTTGACCAGAGCCTTTCTGACCACTGACCTGGTCGCAGAGCGCAATGATGTGGGTCAGACTCATGCCGTGCTCGCTGGCCTCCGCCCGCCCCCATGGAATCACCGCTGCACGCTTCACTGCCGGCTGCACATCCTGCTCCAATACATGGGGGGATGGATGGGCAGGGAGGATGAGAAGGGACGTTGGGAGGCGGCTGTCCGTGGCGGCCCCACAAACGAGCAAACGAGCAAGCAGCGAGGGCGGAACCACACGCGTCAACGCGGAGAGCAGAGCAGAGGAGGGCGGCGGGAGGGGAGTGGGCAAGGGAGGGGAGAAAGGACGGGGACCACACTCACCCCGAACAAGTCAAGCACAGCGGCGTTGACGCGGCGAGCCATGATGTGAGCTTCACGGCGCGCGCGTACTGCATGTTGTCCGGGTGGTCCGACCAGCGACCAGCTCAGTGACGACCTCGCAAATGAGCAATGAGCAAGTCAAGGCACGTCACGCGTATCCCCTCGTCGCGCCTTCCCCCTCGTCGCGCCTTCCCCCTCGTCGCGCCTTCCCCCTCGTCGCGCCTTCCCCCTCGTCGCGCCTTCTCCCTCGACGCGCCTCCCCCCTCGACGCGCCTCCCCCCTCGACGCGCCTCCCCCCTCGACGCGCATCCCCCATCGACGGCCAGACATGGCCACAAATGAGCCATGAGCAAGTCAAGCACTGGCGTACTGCATGTTGTCCGGCTTGTCAAGCTGTCCCGAGCCCCGGCGATCTTGGCGCGCTCGGGGAAACGCCACCCGCACCACTCGCGCACGCGCCGCATGGCGCGCGTCGTCCCTCGTATGTGTGCTCGGGTTGCAGGGTTGCGCCGTCCCTCGTCCCCCCTCGTCGCGAGTCCACCGTCCACCGTCGCCGCCCGTATCCCCTCGTCGCGCATCTTCCCTCGTCGCGCATCTTCCCTCGTCGCGCATCTTCCCTCGTCGCGCCTCCGCCCTCGTCGCGCCTCCGGCCTCGTCGCGCGTCTCCCCTTAGTCGCTGCGTCCCGTTGCCTCCATGTTCCACGCCCTTCGCTCCCCCCTTCGCCCTTACGCCAGTCCCTCACGTCAACGGACGCTCGCTCCGTGATGTCTCGCCCGTCCCTTCGCGTCTCGCCCGTCGCTTCGCGTCTCGCCCGTCGCTTCGCGTCTCGCCCTTCTCGCTCGCGCTGCCGCGGAATGATCACCGGCCGGGAGGAGCCGCGGAATGATCACCAACCGGGAGGAGCCTGGATCTTGCTGGAAGCAGCGCCACCGTCGCGCCTCCCATCCCGCGCGCTGTCTTCGCGCGGCGTGTCGTCCGTCTCGCTGCCTTCGCGCGGCGTGTCGTCCGTCTCGCTGCCTTCGCGCGGCGTGTCGTCCGTCTCGCTGCCTTCGCGCGGCGTGTCGTCCGTCTCGCTGCCTTCGCGCGGCGTGTCGTCCGTCTCGCTGCCTTCGCGCGGCGTGTCGTCCGTCTCGCTGCCTTCACGCGGCGTGTCGTCCGTCTCGCTGCCTTCGCGCGGCGTGTCGTCCGTCTCGCTGCCTTCGCGCGGCGTGTCGTCCGTCTCGCTGCCTTCGCGCGGCGTGTCGTCCGTCTCGCTGCCTTCGCGCGGCGTGTCGTCCGTCTCGCTGCCTTCGCGCGGCGTGTCGTCCGTCTCGCTGGCGCTACCGTGCGATGATCCCCGTAGGAAGAGCCTGGTACTTGCTGGAAGCAGCGGCACCGTCGAGCACCGTCGAGCACCGTCGCGCGGCTCCCATCCCGCGCGTCCTTGCTCCCGACACTCTATGCGTTACCGTTAACGTCAAACGTGTTCGCGCGCAGCGATTCGCTGCTTTCTGATTGATTCGACTCGGAAGCTTTCTGACGGCCGGTGGTGGCGTCGAGGGACGCGAGGAGCAGGTAGGACGGCGACGACGACTGCAGCAGCTGCAGCGCTCGCGCCACGTCTCGCGGGCTCACACGGGGTGATGGCGGCAGTGGTGCTTCTGGCAGTGCTGCTGCTGCTGAAGGTGGTGGTACTGCTGACTGCGATGGTGCTTCTGGCAATGGTGGTGACGCGGCTCCACTCGCATCCCTAGCAGCAGGAGAGCCTGAATATGACCGATATGCAGCATGGCGGATTGAGTGAGCGATCCCAGCATCTTGTGCGTCGACTGCACCACTATGTCCGCTCCTGCCTCTAGCGCCGTCTCTGGAAGCGCGCTGTGGAACTAAATGTGCGCTCCGTGCGCCTCGTCTACTATTAATGGTGTGCCTGCCTCGTGGCACGCCCAGGCGATTCCACTGATGTCGCTGCATACCCCGTATTAGGTCGGGGAAAGCACCAGAACAGCCCCTATTCGCGCTCTAGTAACGGCCACGTGGCGTATGGCTTCTGTGACGCTATCCAGGGTAACTCCGTGAGCAATACCCCAAGAATTATCGGTCACTGGGAGGATATAGTGCGGCACGGCTCCTGATAGCACCATACCGGAAAACGCGCATTGGTGGGCGTTGCGAGGGAGAATAAGGACGTCGCCGGGTCGGCAACAGGATACTACGGCCGTCTGTATGCCGACAGTGCTGCCGTTGACTAAGAACCGGGTCGCGGATGCAGAAACTATCTGTATGCCGACAGTGCTGCCGTTGACTAGGAATCGGGTCGCGGATGCAGAAACTATCTGACACGTACTAAAGATAACGTCAAAAGTTACTAAAACTGGAACCATTTCAGCCAGCTAGATCGAGAGATCTGAAGCACTGTATAATTACGTGGTCAATCTGACACTATCCCGCTGCGTGATCATAACACAATCAGACCGATCTAGGTATTTGGAGGAAGCCATGGCGGCGAGGTGGCAAGTGAGGTAAGAGGCAGATATGAGAGCAAGCGAGCAGGAAGGAGGGCTTTGGCAGGAAGGATACAATAGCAGCAGTCTTGCCGCACCTGGCCTACCAGCACGGCGGGTAAAACTTTTGTGCGGGCCTTGATCGAAGCTTGCCCCACACAAGTCCAAACCAGAAGCGAGCAGGTTCGGTATCAAAACCAGGGAGTGTAACAAATTCGGAGGGAAAATAGGTTCGGCAATTCAAAGTTGCCAGGCGGCGACAAGAGGAGACGAGCCGCCTGACACAAACCCGAAGCAAGGGCTGGCAGCTCCCTCGCAAAACCAACAAAACTGGTTTGTCCTCGCTCAAGAAATGATTCGCTTTTACAAGATTATGATTCCGCGAATCCTGCTAAAATATGTCCAATACAGACGTATTCAGCCTTTTGAAACATTATGACATGGAGAACTCTTGTAGTCACACAATCGACTATCACCTTCATCAAGCAGGTACAGACTATAGCCCATTTGGCATCATGGTATTAAAAAAGCACAATGCTACAAAATGTCACCACCGCTTCCAGCCAAGATTGAAAGGGTTGTTGAACCCAAACCGCCCTCCTTGCGCTGCCCCACTGCCCCCTGACGACCCATCACCCCTCTTAGCCTCCACCCTGCCACTCTGCCTCATCCCCTCACAAATCTGCTCCGTGATCGGAGACTGGAACTCCTGCGGCACGTTCTGGCAGAACCGCGCAGCCTCGTCAGACTCCACAGAGGGAGCCACGAGGGGCACGAGCGACTGTAACCGCGTAACAGCGGCGCGCTGGGCCTCCACCTCTGCTTCCATTGCGTGTAACCGCGCCATTGCCTCTACGCTCTCTGCCTCTGTCTCCCCTGCCACCTGCTCCAGTGCCCTGCTGGCCTGTGTGGCTGCATCCAGCTGTGCGGTGAGCGTGTTAATCTGCAGGAAAGATGAGGGTTGAGGAGCGAGGTGAGGAGAAATAAGGACTAGGAACAGTTGCTGCCCGCCTCCACTGGCACATATTTCTTAGAAGCCTATATGGGGGTGTTCCAGGTGGGACAGACAGAAGCAAGCATGAACCAACACTGTTGAGCTAACCTTGTCGGGGCAAAGACTCGCACGCACCTGGTTGGATCGGGCGGTGTCGGAGAAGTAGCTATTGTAGATGGCCAGCGGCGCCACCACCGCCAGTGCCAGGGACCCCCCGAGCGCCCACTGCAGCGCGCCCGCCTGCTGCACCAGCTCCTCCCGCTGCTGCGCCGCCCGCTGCTCCACCTCCCCCACCACCTCCCGCAGCGGGCGCCCGTCCACCTGGCAGGCCGCGTCCTGCTCTGCCAGCTGTGCGTCCATTGCTTCTCTCAGCTGCTGGGCCTCGGACACCAGGTGGGCGCTGCGCTGCGTGATGGCTGATGCCTCCTCTGATACCCGCTCCATTAGCACCCTGTTGAGGGAAGGTGGTGGGGTGGGATGGGGTGTGGTGTGGGATTGGGGCATGGGTTGGTGAATGGAGTGGGGGACTGGGTGGGAATGTGGCATGCTCGACCTGTGGCTGTGTGGCATCCTGCTCCCACCACACACATGGGTGAACACAGACAAGAGGGTGAACACACAGACACATGACAGCCTAGCACTCACTTGAGCAGCTCCAGGGGGTCATCCACGCCCTCCATCTGCTCCTCCAGCTCACTCTCTGCTGCCACCGCTGCGCCCTGCACGCCCACCTCCCGCCGCACCCACTCCTCGTTCCCCTCCACATCCCCCCCTCCCCCTCCTCCCAACTCCAACCCCACTGCACCCGCCGCTCCCTGTGCCGCATCCGCCACCGCTGCCAGCGGTGCCAACGCCGCGAGGGGATTGAGAGGCCCTAGAGGGCTCAGGGTGCTGAGAGAGGAAGGGTCTGTGGTCAAAGACAGGCTCCAGTGCCGCTCTGCTTCTTCCCCGTCTGTGCCATGCTGCTCCAACTCTGCCTCGCGCCTCCGCCCGTGTGCGTCCACCCAGTCCAGCTCAGCTTTGAGCCGGGTGACGTGGCGGGCCATGGCTGCCAGCTGGACGGAGAAGGCGGCGGCCTGTGCGCGCAGCTCCTCGCCCTGCTGCTGTGCTGCCGGCAGGTGCACTAACAGGGCCGCCTCGCGCTTGGCTTGGGCTGCCTCACTGTCCTTCAGATGCATGACCTGGGGGGTGCGAGGGAAGGGAATGGAAGGGGGGAGTGAAACAAGTTGGTGGGCAGTGGTGTGAGAAGAGGGGAGGGCGAGAGAGAGCAGGAAAGGACTATCTGGAAAGATACAACTTACCTCCTGCGACAGACGGCTGATAGCCTCGGTGTTGGCAGCCACGGTAGCAGCAGCATCAGCGTCCCTCCCCCGCAGGTGCAGCACCTGGCTCTCCACGCTCTCCGCCCTGCGAGCTGCCTCAGCAGCCGTCATCTCGAGTGTGTTGAATCGCCCACTCAGGAACGTCACTCGCGCCGCTGCTGCACTCGCCCTCTGCTGCGCTGCTGCCGTGCGCGATACCAGGACTGCCATCTGAGAAGGAAGGGGGAGTGGGTTGGGAAGAGGGGGAGCCGGGAGCGAGTGCGAAAGATTGCATTATGTGGCGAAAATATGTGCTTCTTTCACCCCGTTTCTTGCACACGAGAATTCCACATCCCCCATCCACCTTCCTCCACTCCCCTCCCCTCCCCTTCCATCCACACCGCACATCTCCCTCTCCTCCCTCGCACCTGAGCCTCCAGCGTCCCAGCACGGCTATCGGCCTCCACACTAACCACCTCAGCCTGCTTTGAGGCGCCTCAAAACTCTCTTTTCTCTCACCTGAGCCTCCAGCGCGCCAGCACGGCTGTCAGCCTCGGTGCTAACCACCTCAGCCTGCTTCACTCGCTCTGCCAGCACCCCCGCCTGCACCTGCAGCTCCTCTATTCTCTCCGCCGCCGCCCGCTCTGCCGCCTCCTTTTGTCCTGTCCGCACCACCGCCAGCTCCTGCACCACCGCCCGCCTCTCCTCCGCTGCCACCCGCGCTGCCGCACGTGCCCGTGCTGCCCGCTCCACCTCCTCCCGCACTTTATCATTCGCCGCTGCTACTCTCTCCTCCGCCTCCTCCGCTGCTGCTCGTTCACTCCTCAGCTGTCCCTTTGCCTCCTCCACCTGTGCCCGAAGCTCCCCAATTTCCCTCTCCACCTCTGCATTCCTCTCCTCTCCCTCTGCCACCTTCAATTTCAGCGCTGAAATCTCCTCCTCCACCTCTCCCAATGCACGCACCTGCTGCACCCCCCCCGTCTGTTTCACTCTCAGTTCCTCCCTCATGGCCGTCTCTTTCACCTTGGCTGCCTCCAACTCCTCCTCCCAGAGGGCCTCTCTGCGCTTCAGCGCTTCAATCTCGGCCGTCCGTGACGCCACGTCAGCGAGGACCTGGCTGCTGGACGCCTCCAGCTCAGCGAGCCACTCACGCGCCTCCGCCAGCTGGGCGGAGAGCGATTCCACCCTGGCATTCGCCTCCTGAAGCTCAGGTGGCGCGTCAGGCGGAAGAGAGGGAACTCCCGTGCCTGTGGTAACATCGTAACCGCTGCTTATCGCGCTGCTGCCACCGTTGCTTGAATCGCCACCGCTGCTGCTGCTGTCACTGGTGTTGCTGGCGCCATTGCTGCTCTGGTCTGACTCTGACTTTGGTAGCCAGGAAGCGGGGTCAAAAAGGCCCTTTAGAGGGTCTGCTGCCCTCTCGCCCTGCTCCTCCTCTGCTGCTCGCCCCGCCACTGCTGCTGCTGCTGCATCTGCCTCTTGTGCCTTGGTCCTCACCTGGTGCTCTGCAGACTGGAGCAAGGAAAGCGGGGTGGGGGGAGGGAGGAGGGAATGATGGCGAACTCGGGACAAGCTTTGCAATGTGCCAAACCTGACCTGAGCAACAAATGCAACCTGGAAATCCGCCTGAGCAGCAGAGCACACACACCTGAGCAACAGAGCGGGCAAAGCTGACGTCAGCGAGGAGCCACTTGTCAAAGAGCTCTCGCGAGCACTGCTCTTGCGCTTGCTGTGAGGGGGACGAGGGGGGAGAGATGGGGGCGAGCAGACGTGAGGGGGGAGAGCGGGCATGAAGGGAAGGCATGAGTGGGAGAACAAGCCACTTGTCAAAGAGCTCTCGCTGATGCTGATGCTGATGCTGATGCTGATGCGCTGATGCTGATGCTGATGCGCTGATGCTGATGCTGATGCTGATGCGCTGATGCTGATGCTGATGCTGATGCGCTGATGCTGATGCTGATGCTGATGCTGATGCGCTGATGCTGATGCTGATGCGCTGATGCTGATGCTGATGCTGATGCTGATGCTGATGCTGATGCGCTGATGCTGATGCTGATGCTGATGCTGATGCTGATGCGCTGATGCTGATGCTGATGCTGATGCTGATGCGCTGATGCTGATGCTGATGCTGATGCTGATGCGCTGATGCTGATGCTGATGCGCTGATGCTGATGCTGATGCTGATGCTGATGCTGGTGCTGATGCTGATGCGCTGATGCTGATGCTGATGCTGATGCGCTGATGCTGATGCTGATGCTGATGTTGATGCTGATGCGCTGATGCTGATGCTGATGCTGATGCTGATGCGCTGATGCTGATGCTGATGCTGATGCTGATGCTGATGCGCTGATGCTGATGCTC